TAGATATTCGGATTGCAGCAGATGATTGCTTTTAGACATGGAAACTTCTCAAAGATAGCTTTGCTCTGTTACATTGCTCCTTGAACCTCCTCTCCTCAGTAACGCAGCATAATATTGCCGTTGACTCTCAGTATCAAGAAATGCCCCACAGGAATGGAGTGCCTCCTCTTCTTCTTAACTTCTTTAATTACTGTGCATCCCAAAGAGTCATCATGGTGACTCCTTCCCACAATTTGTCTACTAACTAGATCTTGAAATAACATATCAGGAAGCTTCAAGCATAATGTTTCTTCTGGGAAAATTCTGGCCTTTGCATTTGCCGTATACCTCATTTTGCAAGCCTAACTCTTAAGCTTAGCATAGAAATGTAGATGCACACAAACTGGTCTTCCTAAAGACCAATGTGGAAAAAAACAAACATATCTAAAAGCTGCTCACATCTAACTGCCTTTAACTCTGTACAGCAGGACCAGATCCTTGAAAGAACAAAGGAGAGTGCTCCCTGAGTTCATGTAGTAATTGGTACCAGGAATAGCTGTCCTTAAGGGGAACCAGCTTGTAATTTGCTGGTACATTTCACAGCTATTTGCTTATATCAGAAGAAATTTGAGCCTCAGGCATCCTGGGTTCTGCAGAGATCAGTGACCAAATATCTTATTCAGACTCTGGTCCCCCTATTGCTTCCCCTTCCAGCTCCAGGTATTCTCCATCTGTCTTCAGTGCCTCGCTCCTTTGTATTGAAGTCGAATTTTTTTTTTTTTCCTGCTTCTCTGTACTACCTCAGCAACACGAGCAGGGCACTGAGAACAAAGGAGAACCGGCCTATTTGTCCTTCATTTAAGCAACCAGAGCAGAGTGGCCAAAAAAAGGTTACCTCGGTTCGCAAGCCTGGGAACGTCACTGCTGGGCTGACTGTGGTAGCAGTCTGCACACAGCCCTCCACCAGCACCGCGGCGGTGCACAGAGATGGGACAGCCACAGCAAGCAGATTTCCAAGGCGTTTGTTGAAAGCCCTTCCCATAAGCCATCATAAACCAGTCAATTCATAGCTCAGTCAAATGGCAGTACCTTTACAGAAACACTAACAAACACAGCCCTGATACCTGACGCGTACACCCTTCTTTCTCCCATATACCAGCAAGCCCAGTGTATGGAAATACAGATGTTCTCAAATAAATGACTGGGGAAAAAGCTCTTTTTAGACAGAAAAAAATGAAGATTTTTTTTCCCCTAATCCTTCTCGTCCAAATGACCAAACTGCTTTAAGCAGAATTGCCTGACTTTTTTCAGGCACATAGCTGACACAAAAAATACAGCTGTAAGAGATCTAAATTGCCAAAGTTATTAGTAACTGAAAATAGGCTCTTACAGAAGAATGTGTTGGCAGCTACCAGCTCTGCCTACAATTCTAGATATAGAGGAAATGGATTAAAGTGTTGAGAATAGCATTTCAGCAGCATGGCTCCAGGACAGTTCTGCCTGCTAGCAATGCTGTCATAACACAGCCATAACCAAGTAGTCAGTATATACAACATTTCAGATGAACTCCAGTAAAACCTTTATGCCCTACCATATCATCATTCATTTTACTTTTGCTAGATATGTCAGAGAAAACTCCTTTCTAAGGGATTTAGAATTCAAGACTAGATGCCTCAGAGATGGCTTTTGAAGTTCAAAGGTGTATGATAAAATTTATCAGATAGTTCTGCAGTTTTTTAAAAAGATACCACCTTTGTGCGTATGTGTAGGAAAGATTCCACTTGCATACCGTACATAAATGTTCCTGCATGCTAATATGCTACTGGATATCAAGACAAAATGCTCTAGTTTTTTAATGTAACAGAAAAATATCGTTTGCTCAGTCTCTCGTTTTATAGACTGAAAAACACTCGTTGACTCCTACTGAAATTATCATTTTGCCTTCATCTCTTATCAAGGTTAACAGTTGTGACTGTGCCACTAAACAGGGATGACTAAATCAAGCAGAACAGGTAGCAAATGCATCTATTCATTATTTATCTAGATGATCATTCAAGCAGGATTTGGCTTATCAATATCTTTTCCATTTATGCTTTCTAGTCTGGAGAACACCACAGTACCCAAGATCTGAAAAGGTGCATCTGTACAAACTGGGGCAGCTTTTGTCCTGCTATGTCTTGTTTATAAGTATCAAGGCATCATTGATTTTTCTGTTACAAAAAATTTGCTGTTCACTTACATCACAGCTAGAAAGTATCAACAAGCTTGAAAGCACAAATATCTTGCAGGAATTTATCTATTTCTTCTTTTAATTGAAAAATTTTTAAGCACTGTAGCACAACACAACATAGTATATCATTCCTATTAAGCATCAACAAAATTGCTTTGCTCTAGTAATACAAGAGCAAATAGGATTCAAGAAAAGTAATCTAATTTTTATCTAATTCTAGTAATTCGATTTTATCAAACCTTAGCTATAGTTGTTGAAATCATAGCCATAATGCTAAAACAATTACTTTGCAAACCACCATAAATTCAACTACTTCACATTCTTTTTGATATTTTAGAGAGAAATGTGAATACAGTGAGAAAAAATGCTTTCATGTACTATGGCCTGTCAAAACACAATTTTGTGTGTTTATACAAACATACACACAGGTAGCCTTCAAGATTTCTGAGTATGAAACGACTCAGAAACGACTACTCTGTATCTCGCATAATAAGAGAATAGAAAGAGACTGATTCCTCTTGTGCCTAAGGTAGATAGCTCCCTCTCCAATGGGCACTGTTTTTTTTTTTTTTTACCCTTAGAAAATAATCAATAATTCAGTTAACCTATCCTTAAAGCTAACACTTCAGTCTTCTGACTGGACCTCACACAGGGGCTGTAAGCAGAATGGTCATGAATGCTGACTGGTCTGACGCTTCTTCATCAGAAAAGACATTTTTGCACCTGAAATTTCTTCATGCCCCAGCTGGGATTTTGGTCAAAAATAAAAGGACCAACACAGAGAGAGACCATCTGCATCTAGAATAGCCCGTGCTAGAATAACTGAATTTTCATTAAAAAATAAGATGAAGAAGAGGCTTTGGGGGTCATTTGATACGGGCCTACCTCTGGCATTTGGTGAGAGCACGGGCAACTTTTCTGTGGTTCTGATAAAAGCAACTTCCCCGGTCAGTGGTTTGAAAAGGGGTAAAAGGAAAACTCCTGTTTGCTGGTTGAAAGCCACACTGACAGTTACACTTTATTCTGCTTCTAAAATCAGGGCATAGATAGCACATAAAGTCTTCACTGATGTGAGAGAAAAGAAACAGTGTTTTCCTGGCTATTCAAAATTGTCCACAAGGATTGCAAGAGGCTACATTCAATGTCCACCTGCCTGATTCAGATGGTGGCAAGCTCCTGGTGTCTCGGAGCACAGCACGCCAGGCACAGGGCGTGCATCTGCCACTCACGTACCTGAAAAGTCCACAATAGATACTTGACATGGAATTGAAAAGCAGACAAAATTTCAGGAATGGTAAAGGTGTAGGAAAGCTCCTCTAGACCAGTTGTAAGGCAAATACAGTCTGCAAGTGCCATGAGGTCCTGAGACAGGAGGCACAAAACTGCAATCGTGACAATTGCGCTCTTCATTTACATAGCACCCTCTTTCTGGCACCTATCAGTGAACAAAGATCAATGAGATGAATGTCATAATCTCAGCCTAATAGATAATGAAACAAAGACAGAGAAACCAGGAGGTCCAGTTATAAAGAGGTAAAGAGGCCTCTTCAAGAGACAAAGTTTAATGTCTTAAATAATAAAACAAAATTCCCATTGTATTCTTTTAAGTCTAACATTCCTCCCTACTTAAAACATGGTATTACTACTAGATAGATGTCAAGACAACTCTTTGCTTTCCAACAGAAGATATTTGACACAGCCATTTTCCAAGCCAATACCCTAAACACTGTTTTTTTTTAAGTCAAATTTTCAGATTTTCCACTACTAAACTATGAGGCAGTTTAGTGCTTCACAGGGAACCATTGTGCTGTTTTCCCTTTAAATTCTAAAGCTATTTATTAAGAATCAAGATAATTATTTTTCCAGTCTGGGAAAAGAAGGATATCCATGTTATAGGGATGTAAAAAGTTAAAAAAAACTATTCAGAAGCCTTCCAGAACTTCCAAAGTAAAGGGGATTTTTTGCTGAAAGATGGAAGGAAAAACAAGCCAACTGATTTGAATGAATATTTTACACCTGTTTTTTGCAGCACTTTAATCAGCAGACCTCAAAGAACCTGAAGAGAAAGATGTTGACTCCATGTATAGAGATTGAGTGATTTATTCACTGGGTCATAACAGGTCACATCAGTAGCAAAAATCCTGCATTTTGCAAATAAGACCTCTGCACCATTAGTTTTTATTTTTCCTTTACAAATGCCAGAAAGAGCTCTGATACTCTGAAATACGCTAGATAGCCCTCACTACACACTACTACCTCGAGAAAGTGTTCTCAATTAGAAAGACATTGCAATTGTCACAGCTAAGCAATTTCTTTGAGACTAAAGAGATTCTGTGTGATTTCACGGAACAAAAAAGACAGTAATGCAGAAAATCTAACACAGAAAAATTAAATTGTCAATCAATGTGTCACACAGTGAGTTAAAAGATTTCATTGTCCACTCTAAAAAACAAGAAGTGGCATGCAAGGGCTACAATGAAACAGACTTGCTGCTTTCTTTGAAACACCCAAAAAGGTCAAGATCAAAAAGACAGAAGAGAAACAGAAAGATAAGAAATCAAAAGTACCAAATTTATTAAGTTACTGGTTTAATACTAATCCTTGTGCGTGTCTGTGTGTATACTGTGTTGTGTACATGCATATTCCATATAGCAGAGTTGCTTGATTCCTGATTGATAACCACATCAACAGGCACAGAATATAGTAAGCAAAAGAGCAATATTTATTTATTTATTTTTAAACATTATTACATTGACAGACTATTATTTTAAAAGGAAGACCATATTATATTAGTTCAAAACTAGCCTGTTAAGCATATATATTTAAACTCTAATTTTACATACATATAATGAAAAAAATCTTATTTTACAAATAGCTATTTTAATAGGCTTTATGAAAATCATGTTTAAAAATAACTGCCAAAATATCCCTCTTTAAATATACAAAATCCCCTTGCTGTGCTGAAGATTTCTTTCTCAAAAGCCAAAAAAATATTTAAGTCAACAGCTGATTCCACATCAAACCCTACTGAAAGCAGGAGTGATATAAAAAGGTAAAAGCACTGTACCAAGTAAATAAGTACAACTTTTGTAGGTCTTAATAATGCACATATTTCTATTTGTTTTAAAAATGTTTTATAAAAACTGCTATTATTAAACTTAACATCCTTTCCTGTCTGCAGAAAAAAACTAGCCACTGAAATCACCTCTGGCTACTAAGACTTCTCTTCTTTGGGAAAGACAAAGCAATACATTTTACATTTCTAACCAGATCACCTAGAACCTGAATCTTCTCCCACACCAGCCAATGGGACTTTTACCACTGGCTTCAGTGGAAGCAGGACCGAAAGTTATCTTCAGCATTTAACTGTGCAACCCCTCTTCACCTCACCTGATTTTCTCCTGTTTCATGATGGAGAACGGACAAAAACTTGTAATACATTAACTGAAGAAACCATAACTGAAGGACTTGAACTTAGCAGGTTGATGTATGGACTAATTTGCTGTAAAACCAAGTGTCCAATTAACCCAAAACCAATTTAATACACTGAAGAGATGCCATCTTCAAACCATCACATCTGCTAATGTTGTATGCTTTTTAGCCAACTATAACCTGTTTATGTCTCTGCAGCACATGTGTTTGTGCATGTGCTTCTGCATGCAACTTCACTGCATCCTTTATAGCCCCTTCTGGCATTTTTTCTGGAATGAGCTTTTCAAGAAGGTGCGGTATCCCGGGTCATCCACATATTCATTCTTAAAACGGGAACTCAATACTCTCTGTCTCTTCTTTTCTCCCTGAATTATATCTCCTCCATAAAACGTATCTTCAAATCTCATGTCAGAGGCTGTAGACTAAAATCAGACATTAATCACACATTCAGTTTCATATAGGCCATCACACTCTGATGTATTCTAGGAAAGTCACATGGAAATATAGATTTATTTTATTACATCACTATCAGGTTAGCTATATTACTGATTATAGAGCTATAACAGAGTTTTCAGGAAAATGTCTTCATGTTAAATATACCTTTTAAATAATTTTTTTTTCTAGCTATTGCATGCACTACATATCATTTAATTCTCTAGATCTGTACCGTTCCTTTAAAATCACGTGTCTGATGCTAGTTATCTTCAATTCTACCTGGATATCAGAGATCACTCTGACTGAGAGTTAAAAATAGGAACACTGAAGTGATGCAATTGTTAGGTAGGCTCATTGCTAACAGTACCAGATATTATTGACCATTGTGCTTTATTTAGGCAAGTTGTAAGTGTAAGGTACTACGACATGGACCACTGAAAAAAACCTGTCCACTGCATAATTTGGAAAGAATAAGAGCTACCGACCGGTTCAGCTAGTTGTCAGCAAATGCAAAGCTATTGGGCATCAAATGAAACAAAGCAGTGGGACACCAAACAGCAAGCCATTTGGGAAAAAAAGAAGCAGAAATTTTCGGATAAACTTGCATTATTGGAGTCAATAGTAAAACTCCAAGGATTAGAAAATGCATCATATAAAAATAATTAGAGTCATATATTTCAAAAAGGGGAAATAGATGCTATAAGATACCTTTAAATTTCACTGTCGTCAGTGTGAAGAGGTGAAGAGGATATTAAGAATACTTTGAGGACTAAGCAGCGTATTTATAGAATCTGAGGGATTACTAGGGAATCATGCAGAGGTCTGAGCACAGGCTGGGGTTTGTTTTATTTAGTTGACTAAATTTAATGTTTTTAAACTACACTTAACTCCCATAAAAAGTTAATGGTGTCACACACAAAAATAAAATATCCATCTATAAAAATGCTATTTTTAAAAGAAAAACATAAACCTAGCTATATCTGTATTGTTATTCTTCGTGAAATGCAACAGTAAAATAGATTTACAGAATGTCCAGTTAATTATAAATGCCTTCTACAAACAGTCTGCAAAAACAATAAATGGTAATGGAACCCTTTCTGAACATAATGAAAAACCTCTTAATGAATACAGCCAGGTGGCTCATTTAGTATTTTTCAAGCTAGATGGTTAAGACATTGAAAGATGAGTGCACTTATCCCAAAGAAAATGGCAAAAAAGTGTCTTACTCAAGAATATTTGATCACTGCACCTCCCATTAGAAAGAGCTCTCCCAGTCTTATTCTGTTCCTTTGGGAAAACAAAAGATCCTGCTGACTGAACACTTCCTTAGCAGGCTGACAACCTCAGGTTTCTCTATCTCTTGTCCACTCTCACCCTTGCTGTCCCTTTCACAAATGATGCTCACCATTTCCTTTGACACACTACTAGCTTCTGACAGACACTATATCCATTTTGAGGGTACCTGTTGGGAACTGGCTGCAAAGGGTAATGATAATAATGGAAAACACAGATGCCAAGAGGCACAGAAAGCGAAGGTCAGATTGAACTCTGCTTCAACTACCTCTACCCCATCTCTAGTATGTTTAGTCCATGGAATTCATCTGAACAGACACACCCTAGAAAACATAGTATTGGATCAGTTTTACAGCATTAATGACAAAGACAAGTAATGGCAATTGGCTGTCTCCTCCAACAGCAGTTTATCGGAATTTGGCCCTTTTCAATCACAAACAGTTATGCTTCTTATACGACATTTGGAAAAGAGGTAAGGTTCATATGTGAACAACTATCTTGTGGATGATGTTTGAAACTGCAGGAAACTGAGAAAATATAGAGGAGCTTTGGCTTTAAACCAAAGACTACCAAAAGGATGGTGAGTCCAGCCATTGATTTGACCAGCTCTGATCAGGTACTTAGTTTCCTAGGACAAGTTAATTGCATTTTTATTAAATGCAGTGCTCTCAAAATCACAAAGTTCTGAGAACACGGAAAGTTTAAAACAGCAGTATACATATTTTATAAGCGTACAGAAAGAACGGTACGCCTGTCAAGTTAACACGTTTCCTAACTTGATCCTTCATGATCTGACAGATGTTCTACTAAGATGTTCTCTGCAGAAGACAAGACAATTATGTCTAATAACAGCATTTGCCCGTACCAGAAGAACAACTAACCATTCTCACTGTCACCTGTACATTTGTGCTAACTGTGTGCTAATTTAGCTAGCCATATCACTACAGCCTTCACAAAATCTTTGTCCTATTTAAAGGGAGAGTCCAGAATAAAGATGAGGCTAGTGTTATTGTCATTTTGAGCATATAAATGCTATAAAGGCATCATTTGCAAATACTCACAAAACGTGCTTTTACTCTCTTAGGCAGTTCTTCATCTAGAGTGTATATCTCTTCTCTCTTCATTGCTATGTGAGAACCATCTTCAAATTCAACCTAATTGAAAAAATGGGAATTTAAAAATAAAGGAAGTTTCTGAGAATATCTCTGAACAAATACATATTTGCAAACATAGAAGATTTATATACAAATAGTTTGTTATCTGTTTGAGGAAGGTACAGTTAGGATAAAACAGAAAAAATGTTATTACTGATAAATTACCACACAGTATAGGCTGAAAACAACCGCTATTCAGTTTAAAGAGCAGAGACACTTCAAAATCAACACTGATATGCATACATACAACAAAGTAAAAGTTTGTTGGATTACAAAAGCCAAACAGTAATAACAGATACCATTATTTTGCAGGAGTGGCACATTAACATATCTTCATGTCTTTTTTATTTGCCTCTAATTTTTTTACTTGCTTCTAATAAATAAAAAATAATTTTAACATCCTGTGCTTCAAGGTTGAGGGAGACCATGTCAAAAGAAAGAAAGTATGAGTGACAACTAAGGAAATACCAGTTAACAGAATTTTATTGAATCTGATGGAATTTCTTTAAAATGCTCTGTTCAGAAGATGAAAAGCTTTATCATGCTTAGGTTTAGATTTAATCCAGCATGAACCCCGTTAGCAGAAAATGAGAAAGGAAATGTAACTAGGTGTGGGGAATGTTAAAATGCTGAGGCTTTGAAGCATTTATGCCTTTTCAGTAGCTGCTGATTTTTTTAATACTTCATCTAACAATAGTGAATTTCAGCTATTATCTGCGATTGTGGTTTGAGTTCCTACAGAAACTGTAGTTAAAAAATAGTTTGGCAAAAATGTAAAAGAAGTCCCATCCTGCATTAAGGTGGCTTAATGAGACCATTTGAATGACAACAGACCTAGGTTGGAAGAGTAAGCCCAAATATACATGTAGGAAAACTTACCAAAAGCATTATCATAGACAAGTCTGAAAAATCATGTATCTGTACTTGTAAATTTACTAGGTTTTGCAGGTTCAAATTAAAACCTTGCCATGAAGTTTCAAACTACTACCTTCAAATACAATGAATATGTTGGATTAATTGTGAACAGCTGAGAAGATTGACATGGTATATCCAGCATCAACAGTCAAGATAGAGATCTATGAGCTATTAACGTATTTCAGAGCAGGATTTTTAACAGCAGTTTAACACAGATGCACAAATCTGGAACGCATTTAAAATCCACCAAACACATAACTGCAAAAGAGTCACAAAAGTCATCTTTGCCTCCCTCTGCTCCCATTAGTAACCCCATAGACCTAGTCTGTAAGTACTAAGTTATAGAACTTAAAAGTCATTGCAGCTTAAACTTTTTTAACCAAATAATGACAATTTAGCTGTTTGTCATCAGGGCACAGGAAAGCCTTTACGCTGTTCTTGCTCCTTACTGCATAAAACACTTGGCAATACGCTTTTAGTATCACTAGCAGAAAAAGTTGGCAGGAAATAGTCTCCGTTGACTCCATGTGCTCAGAAAATCACTTCCTGAATGGCCAATCTTTTTGGTTTCACTAGTAGTGTAGCGGGAGGCAACTGCTCCACATCAGAGAATCTGGCATGCTTCCAGTATGAGATATATGAGATATTGAACATCTACAGTGAACAGTAAATGGAAATTTTTTAAGCTGCATTTCAGCATGCCACACTGGAAATAAATTTGTGATACTGTTAAAGGCAAACACAAAATTTCCTCTAAGACTTTCAGCAGTATCATGATTCATGCAAAATGTAAACTCACCATCTCTAATAGCTCCAATTTAATCCAGACTGCAGATACTCTATTTCAAACTAGCAATTTTATCTAGTATGTTGTTTGCCCTGCTGCTACTGTACTGTATCAGTCTGTGTAGTATGTTATTCTCTCCATGAGATTCTTTTATATCAGGACCTTATCAATTAAAGGGTCAGCTGAAATTGCTTAGAAAGCAATTAATAGGGTGAAAGAATGATTTAATCATTTCCTAAAACTCATAAAAATATTGAAAACAATCATATAAATACTGAAAATGATCAAGACATCAAACAGATCTCAGATATTAACAATTTCACTTAAAGCAAACCCATGCTTCATCTGGCATGTAAAATTCTGCGTCACGATTGTGTAGCATAACCATTCTGCAGATGTCAAACTGGGTAACATGAATTCTGGTGTGCTGTCATAGCTTCTGCACGCACAAGTGCTGTCACACTGTGCATTCTGTGTAAATGTCTCATGAGCGTGATGAAAAATCACAGATTTGTCTGAGTAGAAAAGATTTGTAGATATTTTATGAGATTATAATAGCTTGTTTCTGAAGCCTCCCTTTCAGTTTCTCCTTTTGTGGTACCCTCTAAGAGAAGAAGAGTGCACGTGTATGCATATATGCTGGGGGCTATCACACAAAGTGCATAGAAAAGACTGGAGGAAGCACTACTAACGTGTCCTGAAGTTAGCCTTGCACCCCCCATGTCATAGTCTTTCAGTCACCAGTATGACACCTCCACCATTATGGCAGCCTCTTATCCTGTCCTACAGAGTGAAACACTTGGTAGTCTCCACACCCTATGCAGTGCAATCTGGGCTCCATTTAATCACTGCTATTTCCCCAATGACAGGGGCTGTTGCAAGGCAGCTTACTGTAGTCTCTCATCACTGTTATGCTGAAGAACTCAGAACCTTTCTGAGTCTCCTTATGCTAATCCATTTTCCTTAAATTAATCCAATTTCCTTATGTTGTGTTATAGGTCAAAAATAAGACTAAGAAGTTCAGTTTTACTACATCAGTTTTTTCACATATAAAAGATAATAACAACATTAATCTAATCTACCTTATTTCTTGGAAGACAAACTGTTTAGAAGATTAAATGCTTTGAAGATTAACATTACTATAGAACAACAATCTTTATATTTTATAAAGAACTTTTCACCTTCATGACATAATACAGCCATTAAACATAAGGAAAGAGGTAAGATTTAGAGACTAGCTCAAGAGATCAGGCACTTAAGGACTTGAGTTCGATTGCAAGTCATTGGCAAAGTGAGAAGGTCATCGCAGCAAGTCATTTAGCCTCTCTGTGCCTTAATTTATATACAGATACAACAGTAAATTTGCCATTTTTCTAGAGTAATGTGAGATCCTCAGATGAACAGAGTTACATAAGTGAAAATGAATACATACATATATGTATATATACACACACACACACACACACACACATATATATATATGAATGAAATGTACCTAGATTGTCATTCTTTCAGAAGTGGTATTAATTATTGTGATTGTTTTACTGCAGTTTCTACCATTCACTCAGGTACTCAGCTGCTGACTGATTTTTCTCAAGGGCAAGCACATAAAAAAACAATGATTATGTCTCTGAAATCAAAAGTCAGCTTTTTGCCCTTGCCTACAGTGCTCAGTTCCCTACTTTGTTTGCTAAGGACAAAGCACTCCTTAGATTATACGTTAATTAATATGAAAGTGCTTTAGACAAATGAAAATGGCGCTATCTGTACTCTCTTCTCACTGTCTTTCCTTCCATCCTTTTTATGAAATGCTTGAGGCTGATTACAGTCACACATCACTAATTACATCTATATCATTATTCATATATCATCTATATCATCTATATCATTAATTAAATAATTACCTAGCATTAAATAAAAGTAAATAACCTGGAGAAAAATAACAAATGTCATCTTGCCATCTTAATGTTCTCCCCATTCCACCTTGTAAAATGAAGAGTACTGATTAATACCTAGTTCTGATTAATAACCCATTTTCTTGCTTCCATAAGAACAGATGAAACCTCCAATCCCAAAGAGTGCACAGTGCTTATTAATGTTTTGGACAGCTGTTAGTGTAAGTACATCAGTTACAATACAGTCCACACTCCTGCCTTCTGCAGCTCTCAAGCTGTGGCTTGCAACGTTAGAGCAGAATGGGCAACTCAGAATAAAGACATCTGAAAGACAGGCACATGGTAATAAATACAGATACTCACCTGATACATATGAGCTATGTTTGTTCCCAGATACTTTGCACCATACAATTTTCCATCAGGCCACTTCACCTGGACAACTTCTCCTTCTGCAGGTGGACCTAGCTTTAGGCAATCTCTGCTCTGTTTACGAACAAGGATAGTTTCTCAAGTCAGTGAATGAGCTTCTACACTTTGAAATTAACAGTGAACTGCTTCTTACAGCCGGATAATTGGAGAAGAGTTATCACTATATCTGTTTCAACTTTTATAATCTTGCTAATAGGCTAGCATAACACACTGTAAGCCTTTATGAAAAGGAAATAAAGACCACAGAAACACTGCCTTAACTGCTTGATGTTGCACTGGTAAGACAACATATGCATAAATCAGACAGCTACACATTTCTCCAGATTCATTTCTGTCCCACATTGAAAATGAAGATCACCAAAGTGCACTTGCGTATTTGCAGCACTTTTTCTATTACATATTTAAGTAATTCATGTTTTGTTAATAGCAATGCATTTTTGCTAGATGCCAACTTTAGCGCCTGAAGCAGACTGATGACTGATCAAACTGAAAAGGGTGGGAATGCCAGTGAGCGCTTTGCTCAGTTGAAGGACAAACACAGAGTTTAAATGTTTATGGCAAGGAACTTTTTTTTTTTTCTTGACAAGATATAAGGCAGCTTTTTCCTGTGTATTAGCTTGGATGCTGGCAGAGAAACAAGTTGTCTTTTTGAGCATGTAAGGAAAATACATAAAACTGTGTTATACTTTTGCTAATTCATGAACGTTCAGCTACAGTCAAAACAGCTTCCATCAGTAAGTAAGAAATACGTCTGATACGGTGCTGGGTTGCTTCTATATATTTGAAGCCTGTGAGGGAAGGAAGAGATGAAGCTACTTGCTGTTAGCCTTCAAATGGAAGCCAGGGGCTAGGTGATACTGTGAGAAAGTACACCAGTTAGCTGACCTGGGTCCTTATTCTGGAAAGCAATACACTTTAGCAAAACGAAAGGTAGCTGCAGGAATAATTACACTTGCCTCACTTATTGCACATGTCAGAGCAGCACATTTTACGCTCGTTGTATTATGTTCTTCCCACGGTCTCCTTAGCTCCAAATGGCCCATTTGCAGAGCACACCAACCACAGACCCATTAATATGGCAGTCCCCATCAGGAGCTACATGATTTTCCATAGAAAAACCTTTATGTCCTATGTGTGCGTACCAGTTCTTTGGAAGCTATGTCTGCCACATATTCCCTGCAAAAAAGACACCTACAGTCTGTAATGACTACACCACATGACTTGTGATATAAATTAGAGCTAATTTAGTGGCATTCTCTGAGGTATGAGAGGCGCTGTTCAATGGCCACGTTGTCTGAGCACACTGCGGAGTGATCTAAAATGGAAAGAGAAGGGATAAAGCCAAAAAGGACTTAGGTATGCTGACAAGGCTACTCAGTACACTGTGTCACCCCAGGCTGCTGCAGCCCTACTGCCATTTTCAAAGTCTCAGATTTATATAGACTAGTTTTCAAAATGTATATTATTGCTTTCATGTATTTCTGAGTTCACTGGGCACTTCCAACTGAGGCTGCCAATCATTTTGACAAAGAACAGAAAAACTGAGAGTAAAACCACACCAGCAGTGACATAGCTAATAAGTCTTTGTGATCCTTCTTCGAATATTACCTTGTTAACATATCAGGTTAGAACCAAATCCAAGCCTTTTAAAGTGATTTTAATCACATGTATCTTAACCCACAAATTTGATTCAACCCTTGAGAAAACTAATGAAAAGTTGGACTTCCCCAGAAATACATGTTCCTGCAGAACAGATGCTGCCTCTGTGATCCCTCGGGAGCTATGCCAAGGGGACAGCTCGAAACTACGCCCTGCATGTCTGGCTTGCAAAGGCAGCTGTTACGGATACAGCAAGATGCATCCTCTAAATCTCATAATTTACCCAATGGGTACCCACTTCTAGGGTAGTAGGTGGTATTACTGCATTACCCTTTTCTTTATTTACAGGGAGAGGGAACAGAAGGAAAAAAAAGGGCTACTGCCTGATTTTCAACAGTAGAATAACTATGACTTCTCAGGGAAGCAGGGATTGCTAAACTCTTTCACAGCACCCACTATAATTTAAATGAGATTATATTTTGAATAGTCTGTCCTTTGTGATGACAGTGAAGATGCCTGTTCTCATAACTGATTTTGCTGCTTCTGTCTGTTTAGTGTTAAGGCACAAAAAGGAAAAAAAAAAACCATACACACATTTTGACTAAGTGTCTGGAACCAAATTTCTAAAATGCATCATGGAAAATGCGAATTTCCTAAAACAAACAATCCATTAAGAATGTCAATCCAAACATTAATTTTCCAAGAATAAAAACCCAGCTTGAATTGCTCCCTCTGCACCTCCTATAAGAAAAAATTCTCACAAAAATTCTCACAGAAGTAATGGAATTGTTCACATGGTAAATTAGAGTTCTTATGCGAACAGCTAAAATGACCTGGAACTACAATACAAATCCATTCTTCATGTATTACCACAATATCCTAGTCTATGGAACAATGTTTAGGGAAGCCATACCAAATAGTTCGTGCTGCTTTCTGCTACAGAAAACCTAAATTTTATTTTGTATTGATCTACACGATTTATTTAGAGATTCTATCTTTTCCTGCAAAAATAATTCTCACCATTTTCTTCTGGCGTACGAGTAGACCCATTTCTTAGGCTGACAAAGCTGCAAACATATAACCTCACACTTCTTAGTTATATCATGAAAAGTCAGACATCAAGATATGGTGAGCCCTCAACATTCCTATACACCGATTGTAAATAACATATAATGTGGGTTAAATCTATACTGAATTTGTAAACCATGTACGTTTCCCCTACAGTTCTATATTTTCTGTTCCGTAAACGAAGCCCCAGTACAGTACGTTTTCTTCTTCACATAAAAAGATACAAATCCTACCTATCTGTACTGAAATATCTATTCAATTCTTAAGTGCCTAATTTCTCATTCCACCTGTTTCATAGAATCAATGAATTGCTCAGGCTGGCAGGTACCTCTGTTTCTTCTATTTCAGCTTTTGCCCATTGCATTTCATTCTGCCACTGGGCACCACGGAGGAGAGTCTGGCTCCTTCTTCCTTGGTGCCCTGCATCAGATATTTAAACACATTGATAAGATCCCCTGGAAACTTCTCTTCTCCAGGCTGAACAGTCTCAGCAATCTGAGCCTCTCCTCAGATGTTAAGATGATCCTTAAACATCTTCATGATCCTTCAATGGACTCACTTCATCATGTCCATGCCCTTCTTGTACTCAGCAGCCCAGTAATCAGATATTCGGTCTCACCAGTGCCGAGTCTGAGCTAAAACCCATAAACTACAACAATTTACAAAATTGTTCTTGTTTACTACAATTAATATTTCCTAGTTTTAGAAACATTCCATTTGGGGTATATATGCAGTGTGTGTACACACACATACATATATTTTTATACATGTATATTTTTATATATGCATTATTCTGATCTAAGATTAACTGAAGAACAATTGAGACTGTTTTCCAAAACTGTCAGAAACACATGCCCCTTGCATTCCTACAATTTTATTGTTACAATTTTTTCCTGGCAATTATGTTATGAATTCAGCTATTCTAAATTTTACAATTGCTTGGGGAATTATATAAATATAAGAGCCCTTGACTTCTTCTTGGTTTAACCTAAAGCAGTCAGATTGAAAACAAATATCTTCAGTGAATTCAGATGAAACAGAAAATTCTGTGATGTGGTCATCAATGTCAACAGGACTAAAGTTCAGTGCATATCAACAGAGCATCCTCAGCAGATGTGGTTCATATCTTCAGGCATTGGCTAAAAGAAGTCTGCAGGTTAAAGTGAGAGCTGCAGGGATACTGACTGTAGTTTTTCATGTAAAGATTGTACTAGGAAAGGATGAAATTATTCTGTGACTAGGCATATCAGCTAAAGTTAGTTTATAGAGGCTCTTGGCTGACAGAAAGCTAGATACAGAGATAAACCTTAGAAAGGAAAATATTGCCATAGCCAACGTGGAATATTTTAGTAAATAAGACAATATAATTTTCCTTTTGAGGGATTTTTTCCCCATGAGTGAGGAAGGCAGCAATTAAATGAAAAAGACCAAAAAGCTGCAAGAAGGCAATTAATATCACTCGAAAAATTTGTTCTTTTCAAGTTAAATACATGACAAGCAAGAAGCTCTCTAAAAAAATCCCTGAATATTGTGAATGGACAAAATGCCCACTACTATACACCTGCTGAATCTAGCAGCAGAAAAAAATTTTTCATTAGCCTGTATTTTCTATATTTTTTTGCCTTTCAACAGTCAGTTTATAATTCAAAGATTGATCTTTAGGGAGCTTATATGGAATCTTATCCTTTCAAATCTGATTCACTACCTTGGGTGAACGGAGAATATGATTGGTGAAGGGGGGGAGTAAATCAACAGATGCAAGATCATGACCATTTAATATTATAGCAATAACACTGGTCATTGTCCATCAAGGAGTTGTTTGAAAAGAAGCAACAAAACCAAAGAGGAAAATGTAGCTTATTTTCTAAAGCAGATATAAACCTAAATATAGCAGAATGTTTAAAACTGTTGCTAGAAAACAATCCCATTTAACATGGAATAATGACAATTCTTGTTTATTTGAATCATGGGACAACTTCATCAGATCACCTGGCAAATTCATCGAATTACCTAGCTGCCCTTGTTAATTGTTTTGAAGTTACTGTAAAAAATGATTCCATCCTGATTCAAGAAAAGATACAATAATTGCGATGATAAACGTCCCAGATTTGATCCTCACAACTGACAACATAGAGTAACATGTCTTGTCTTAAGAGCTGTATTTTGCTGCCTACTTGCATTATTGCATGAGCATTGTGTGGGACTTCTCTCAGGGAGAAAATCAATTTCCATCTTGACCAGATCAGAACACTTTTTGTAGATTACTAAATTCAGTCCTCTACTGAGTTGCTTCTACAGTGGGCTTAACAGGGAAGAGGAGAATGAACCACTGCATTATAAAAGAGATTTGCAATCAATAAGTTACTCTCTGAAGACCCTCCTTCACA